AAGAAAATCTGTGTCCCTGCTTCCATCCATACCTAGGATAGACAGGAGCACAGGGCATAGAAAACTGTATGGGACACTTATTGACATACTTTAATAATGTGAGTTTCAAAGCCATATTACCACATGATAATTAAATTAAAATACTGAAATAATCACAATGTTGCATTCAGTTCTTTCTTATTTATCATTTAGTTATGTTTACAGTAGATGAGGGCTTCTGAGCCTTTACATATAAAGCAGCGAACAAGAGGATATCTTGAGTTTAATGTGCACAACATACATGAAAGGACAGACATTAGGTCTGGGGGGTAGACACCTCAGAACTTTTGTTCCATATGTTTCTCATGATAGAGATACATATTAATGTTGAAGGCCTGTGCATCACCTGTGGGTCAGTGAGCCGTGTTACATCAGGGTAGAGGTAGAAGACCAGTCCATCAGCAGCTCCAGGCAGGGTGAGTCCTCGGACCAGCAGCACCACCAGCATCACATAGGGGAAAGTGGCTGTGACGTACACCACCTGAGAGGGCAGGAAACCATTGATATATAGAGGGTTCATTTCAAACCTGCAACTAACCAGCAGCCATGTCACCCTGCAACTTACAGTTGGCAATCTACTGAAGCAAAGCAGGTGTGAGCCTGGTCAGTACCTGGATCGGAGACCTCCTGGGAAAAACTAAGGTTGCTGCTGAAAGAAGTGTTAGTGAGGCCAGCGGGGGGCGCTCACCCTGCGGTCCATGTGGGTCATAATGCCCCAGTATAGTGACGAGACACTATACTGTAAACAAGCGCCGTCTTTCGGATGAGACGTAAAACCGAGGTCCTGGCTCTCTGTGGTCATTAAAAATCCCAGGGTGTTTCTCGAAAAGAGAAATACAAAATCCTCACCTTCCCAGTGGACTTCACTCCCTTCCAGACAGAAAAGTAACAGATGATCCAGGCCAGCAGGAGACACAGAGCCAGTTCCCATCTCAGACTGCCCACCTCATCGATCCCACCAGAGATACCCAGCACCCTCCTGCTGTAGGGATGATGATGCACATTTCATATTATAGTAATTAAGTATTGTATGCGCCTGTAATATCACTTTAGAGATAGGTACAGTATGCCTAACGTACTTCCAGAACTCCATTACAGCAGAGGTGGTCTTTTCTCCATCTGTCCAGTTGGAAGTGAGATTCTGCTTGTCAAACTCCACACAGGAATCTACCAGAATTCCAACAGAATAGAAGACGTGTGTGACCTTGTGCGGCAGACAGCAAGGACTGGTGAGAGTGCAGAGAGAACAGGATCAGAACTCTGCTAATACAGGAACTACTGTACTATCAACTTCAAGACAGGATGACAGTTTTACTAACACCAGTGTGCTCAGCCAAGGAAAAAGAGTATCTCTGGACTCTTCTTTAACAATGCACTGATTATTCATCAGGGGCTGCTAGTGAACTCCTTTGCTCTAGTACCTGTGTTCCAGGTGTTTCTGCAGCTGGCCCAGGGCAGCTCAGAGCTGAAGGAGGAGAACAGGTAGAAGAAGGCCCAGGCCTGGATGATGATGTAAACAATGACATTGTAGATCATGATCACCACGGTGCAAAAGCCAATTCCTACAGAGACAACAGCAGAACTGGAGCAGAACTGCACTGTCATGTCATTTACAAAACTGCTTTATACCACACAGTGTCGTGGGAAGCCAGAGCTTTCCCAGCAAGCAACGAGCACAAGGCAGGGTACACCATGGATGGGGCGCCAGTCCATTGCAGGGCAAGTGTAAGCCAATCAAAAATGGGGACAATTTGGAAGCCACCGTAAAGACTGAGGGGAGAAATTTAGCCCACACACCGGGATAACTCTCTACTCTTATCAAGAACTGCCCGGTGATCTTTAATGACAACTGAGAGTCAGGACTTCGGTCAATGAAATATGGAAGAACTGCATTGTTGGGCTGTTCTTCATACTGTAAAGTGTTATTTTACATAACATATTTTTCAAAACACATCGTTGGGCATTTTTAAAATAAAATGCTTAAAAAATGCCCTATTTGAAAATTTAATGTCACACTGTGTTGTGGTACACTGTTCTCATCTTTTCAGGCTGTTTTTTGAATCATGGTATTTTACTATTATACGAGTAAAGGAACAGTGTGACTTTAAAAGGCCTTTGTGTGGTAATAATGAGGGAGGAGCTTCCACAATAAAAGTATAATTCTGAGGCTAAATTTGTTCTCTTGTAGAGCTCTGAGAAGATGGATGGGCTGTTATTTCTGCATTGTCCCTTTCCTGGGAATTTAGACTAGTGCTGAATTTAGAGTGGATTCAGTGTCCCTGCTGTCACAAATCTGTGTTCAAAAGAAATTATCGAGAAAACCATTTGTCTCAGTACTAAAACAGCTCCTGATTTATTTTTTCATATCAGGCCTTGTAACTCTGCCTTTGGGAAGGGATGGGACAGGGCACTTTTTGAAGAATGTTACTTTGTGGAGTGTGAGAATAATTTGGCACCCAAGACACTTTTCTATATAAGATTTAAGTTAAGGCAAAGTCTTATTTCTCAGTGCTTTCTTTGCTTGAACATGAGAGTTATAATACAAATCAATTATCTAATGACTTACAGACACTTTTATCTCATCTGAACTGGACTGGAAATTTCCAAGATCAGGTCTGGAACAGATTGCACTGTCAAGGTATTGAAGTAGAGTCTCTGTGAATCATTCAATAAACAGCTTCCTATCATCTGGAAACATTTCTATGTTCTAACTGAAACATTAAGTATTTCCTGTCTTTCTTATGGAAGGTTTTCAAAATCAAAAAAGTGTGATGTAAGAAAGCTGTAAAAATGAATGAAAACAAGAAGATCACCTTCAAACAGGGGGCAGATCTTCCTCCAGCAGGTGATGCCCCCCTGGCTGGTGTACTGCCCCAGAGCTGTCTCCAGCAGGAACAGGGGGAGTCCGCAGATAAACAGGAACAGGACATAGGGGATGAGGAAGACACCTTTTACAAAGGGGAGATTAAATATCACAAAAGATATTATACTAACCTATATTAACATTTTATATTTTCCACTGTAAACATCTTTTTTAGTCAAAGTCAAATTGTTCATATTCATAAACTTATATGGGGCTAAATGTTCTCAAAGACAATTTAATAATTCATAGATTTATGATTAAAATAACTTGTTACACTTGTGCACAGAAGGATAAATAAACTTCCTCAAATTTAAATTAACTGCTGAAAAATACTTATGCTGTGATGTAACTACAATCACAGAAGAAAATTGTTTTTCATCAAAATCAACCCTTTTAGACCTTCAGTGGATAGATACCATTCAACTGCCTCACTCACCTCCCCCGTTTTTGTAGCACAGGTACGGGAACCTCCAAATGTTGCCCAAACCAACAATCTGTCCAGAAACAGCCAAGATGAACTCCCTCTTGTTTGCCCACTGGCCCCTCTCCTGGATCTTCTGCCCCTTCTGCTCCAGCCTGCTCCCCTGGACTGAGGGCTCATGTTGAGCTTCTGCCTGCAGATCCCCGTCCATCCCAGCTGCAGCCCAGTGAAATGACTGTTGAGAGGAAAAAGGAATGGGAAGGAAAGAAAAATTCAAGGAAGAATCTTCATCCTCAGAAACAAAGCAGAAACAAAACTAAATGCAAAGTTCAATACAAAAACTGCTACTTCTCTAATTTTTTTGTGAAAACCAGTAAAGGAACTGTTTAAGTGGTCTAACTCACACTCACTCTTTTTATACTGTGTACATGGCATCCAAATTCATTAGTCTTTGAATAACAGAAGTCATGACCACTTTACCTCTTTCACAAGAGTGATAAGTCTTTATATGTAAATTAGGAACTTAAGCAATGATGTTTTCACTATATGTAAAGGGATTTTTTCTATTTAATGGCACAGTATGTGAGGCTCACACAGGTGTCACAGTGATGGACTGGATTGGTTTACCTTGTAAAACACATGTAAATATGCTGCTTCCCTGAAAGGTAGACAGAGTCTCCAATATCTCCTTAAATATTTCATAACACCGTTTCTTTATTTATATGCATACTGCACATGCAATGGAAAATCACCACTCACAGTCAGAGGTCTGGAATACGGAGACTCTCCCGTTCTTCAGCACTGGATGAACCAGGAGATGCTGTCCATCTCATACTATTCACCTTCTGCTCAGCTCTAGAGACTCACTGAACATACAGTAGGCAAGCATGAAGCTTATATACAACTCTGTCACACAAGTGGCACAACACAGTATTTTATGGTCTGAGAAATGTTTCAAACAGCAAAGGAGAAAAGAGACAGTATGAGTGATATGAATGGTGCCAGGAGATAAGGTGTGCTCAGCTCAGAATGAAAACAAATTAGAAGACAGAAGATAGAGCAAAGACAACACTAGTCTTTTTTCCCACTATACAGTATATTCTCCATTTTAACAATACATGAATCATTCATCACTATAACTCATTCTTTAAAATAATAAGAGTGTAGAAGATGAATAGGAGGGTGAGGGTGTTTTGCAGGCCACGGTATGTATGGCTACAGAGCTGTGTGTCCGAACAGATTGTTAGCAGTACTGGGGCTCCACAGGGGACTGTCCTTGCTCCATTCCTGTTCACCTTTTACACTTCTGACTTCAGGAACAACTCTGAGACATGTCATCTGCAGATGTTTTCAGGTGACTCTGCAATTGTGGGGTGTATTAGAGAGGGGAGGGAGGAGGAATATAGGAGCTTGATTACCAATTTTGTGGAGTGGTGTCATCTTAACCATCTCCAGCTTAACACCAGCAAGACCAAAGAAATTATTAGGAATAAGTCTCTGCTGAATCCTGTTTCCATCCAGGGTGAGGACATAGAGGGCATACATTCCTATAAGTACTTAGGGGTACACCTGGATGATAAGCTGGAGTGGTCTGGTAACACTGATGCCCTGTACAAGAAAGGTCAGAGCCAACTCTATTTTCTTAGGAGACTCAGGTCCTTTGGTGTGTGCGGAACACTGCTACACATTTTTTATGAATCAGTGGTGGCAGCCATCTTCTACGCTGTGGTGTGCTGGGGCAGCAGCATCATGACAAAAGATGCAAATAGGCTCAATAAACTCATCAAGAAGGCTGGCACTGTGCTGGGGATGAGCCTTGACCCCATGGAGTAGGGTGGCTGAGAGGAGAATGCTGAACAAGCTCACAGGCATCATGAACAACACCTCTCATCCGCTTCATGGGACTGTTACTGGGCAGCGGAGCACATTTAGCAATAGACTGCTCCAGCTACGGTGTTCAAGGGAACGTTTCCGCAGGTCTTTTCTCCCAGCGGCTGTCAGGGTATATAACGCTGCCCTAGGCTAGGACTGTTAGCCCTTCATTTGCTCATCTATGGACAGCATGTTTGCTCCATTGTACTTTTTGGACAATCAGTCTGTATAAACCTATGCTCATTTTGCACATATTTTATTGTTTATACAGCGACTATGATCAGCACATTTTGCACACACCTATGTATTTATTTTTATTTATTTTGTTTGTCTTTTGTTTTATAACTATTCTGATGTCTGTTTTGCTTGTCTTGGGCTGGACTGCTGTAACACATCAATTTCCCTAGAGGATTAATAAAGCATTACCTATCTGTTTATACAATGAATGGCAGGCTAGAGCAAAACATAAGCAATTTTTAGGGAAGAAAATCAGATTGTTTATGACAAGTGTTAAATAAATTTGACCAGTCTAAAAAAAACAAGGTGACACTCTCTTTTGTCTTGAAGAAGGAAGCAAATTCAAAACAGTTTAAGAAGCACAGAGGTTATTGTCACTGAGATTACAGAGCTACGGACAACTAGATCCAATCTCACCCAATCGTGCACTGCTGATTAGACAATCATACTAGTGAGCTATCATAGTGAACCTGTGATTGCACAAGCTACACTTGGACAATTTCCTTTCACAATGGAGCCACTCAGCAGGCCTTAATTGTACCATCTTGGTTGAATCTATGTGACACATATTTAATTAAAAGAAGCAAATAAGAACAGCTTAGCATCACCATTCTACTCCAGCCAGATATTTATTATAGTACATCATAGAGATACAGGTGTGTTCAGTGGGGAGCTCTCAGCAGAGAGCGACACGGTGCCTTGATAACGACAGCTGAGAGGAGTGAGTGGTAATGAGCCTCAGCTGTGGGAGTAATTTAAAAGCACATCAAACGCGTTCCAGAACAGTGATCAAGCCAAGACTTTAGTCTTGTGCAAGCTGCAGGCGAGAGAGGAGGGAGATCAGGTCTCCCGTAAACAGGGGCTCAGCTGTGAGAGAGAGAAAAAGAGGCCGAAGCAAGACAGCAATGGATGTGAGTAGCTGCCGGTGCGGACACTGTTAAGAAAGAGCATCTGGCTTACAGGTGCGAGAGAGAAGGCAGACTGCTGGCTGTAGCAAAACTCTGATAAGGGGAGAGATGGAAAAGCAACAATCTCAGAGGAGATTGTGGACGGAGAGTCTCTGGAGTTAGACAAAACTGAATTATTTATAGAACCTGCAGCCTATTTTGGTGTAAGTGTCCAGGACTGCTTGGAGTCCACTGTGAGAGTGTTTAGCATGTATATGTGTTGGTTTCGCACTTATCACTAATTTGAGGTGCACCAGCAGCTAAAGTACATGAGTGAGAAAGCAGTGGTGGATGGGCACAGGAGTAGGTGTGCCGGTTGACATGAAGGCACAGCCTGAGATGTGAGAGTAGGGCACCAGAGAGATTGTGTATTTCAATTAGGGACACAGTGTTGAGTCTCGGCATGAGTGGTGAAATGCAATAACAGACTCGGCTATATAGTTAAGGGGTGATATGTCTGGGCAAAAGAGTGAGGTGCTGTGGCCTCTTTGTGTCTGTGACGCCCAGCCTGGAGGCATCAGGAGGACGTCATCAGCTGGAAGCGGATCTGAAGACCATGGGCTGGCTGATCGTGAGAGGACCACTGGGTGTTCTGGGGGAACAGGAGGCTGTATGAAATATCTAGGAGCTGGAGGCTCCAGGTGAGTAAGGTAGTAGAAGGCTCCCCGAGGTGTCCAGAAAGGGAAAAGATAATAAATCAGTGTTAAGAGGTTGCTTGTCAAGCTTGCGAATCCACAGGCAAAGGTCTCGGAGATGAGAGGGACCTCCATTATGATCCGAGAGAGGGCCATATACTGTTTGACAGTTGTTTGAGTCAGAGACTCTGGGTCCAATAGTATCATGTTAAGAGAACTTTGTTACAGTAATTTGACAAATTTATTAATCAATTATTTTAAAACACTGTATTCATCACACTTTACCATTGTTAAATTTAATAACCTTTCTACTTCAAACATCATAAGTACCCATATTGAACCACTTTCAACACTGCTGCTGTGTTAACAGATAGAGGCTGCTGGGATTGGAGCTCCAGGGCTCCCTTCACTCTTTAGCCGTTTCTCTCTTGAACTCAACAGAGCACTGGAGTCTGAGCTCAGAGGATCACAGCTCTGTTTCTGCTTCTGGCTGAGAGGCAGGTCCTGGGCATGGCTACACAGCAGGTGCAAACGCTAGAGAGACACCAAGAACAGATGAGTTTGTTACAGACTCAGCTCAGGAGAACGAACAAACTGACAATTCAGCATAGAGCTCTTCAGTTACCAAAGAGGGAGGAGCAATACCTGGTGTAGTGACCCTGTTGATGAGGTGAGCTTATACAGCATGACCAGAGGGACACCAATGACAGAGGAGATACCCAAAAGCCACCCTATGACATACGCCCAGTCTGGATAAACATAGGTGTTGTTGAACATCAGTGGGGTGTACCTGACCAGCGAGAAGATGAAGATGCCCTGAAGGGGAAAGAACAGACAGCTTCACCTCAGTTCAGTGACTCAGCTTCACCAGGACAGCACAGGGGCACTGCTGAAGAGGTGGAATGTCATATTACAATAGAAACTGATTTTTATAGGTGGAGTTAATTTGAAGAAGTTCAAGACATGCACTTACAGTGCACACAGCTGGAGTGATGTAGCGCCAACAGTACCAAAATGCAGACAAAGGCCGATAGCCAGTCATGTCCTCAATGTTGGCACAGAAGAGATCAGCTCCTGCATGAAATTCAGAGGTCAAGAGAAGAAGCTCAGTAATGACACAATTACAGATGTATACATTTATTTTGTTGAGTCATCTGAATTCAGTGACCATTTTATTTAATAGACCTCTGGTCATGTGAGTGTTTCTGAGTTTAAGGTAATATTTGGATTATGGATGACTAGGGACTTTAGAAATTCTAGTGATTAGCTTTACTAGTCAAGAGATCAGCTCCTCTTGTAAAAACCCAGAAGCCAACTAAAGCAATTCAGTAAAAATCAAAAGAGGCAAAGCATATTTTATAACTTTTATATATATTATAACTGAGAATTAAGGAAGACTGAGTGTCAAGTAGTACTGTGCAATAAAACGTTTTGCTAGGCAAAGATGGATCAGAAAAATGGATCTCAAAAACACTTAAGGAGAAGGAAGTAAAGTCCTGCACATAAGCAGGTGTGATAATGGAGTGTGAGCTCACCGTACACCCATCCAATGCAGATGCTCTGAAATATGGCAACAAACAAAATGCAGGCCCCATTGCTGCCATAGTAATCAACCAGCAGGAAGACATACAGGCCACCCTGTAGAGAGATACAAATATTGAAACCGAAAGGTTACAGTGACACTCTGTAACACTATGGGTAAGTTCAAAAGTTCAAAATGATACACTATGGCACAAATATCCTACAGTTTCCAATAAATCTCTTAATCTCTGTAGGCTGCTCAGAAGAATTTGCTGATCCCTTAAGAGAAACCTTAGTACAAAGTACTGATTTGTTGATTGGTGCCCTAAAATGGCACAAAAGTTCCTGCAGTTTCCAATAAATGTCTTCCAATTCTATGGGATGTTCAGAAGAACTTGCTTATCCTTTTATTCAAACCAGCTCATTCCAGGTCTTGTTGATTAACAGTCAGGCCCCTCAGCTCTTCAGTGCTCACCTCAGTGACCATGAGGAGCCCGAGCAGGAAGCAGACCACACAGAAGAGGAGCAGGAGGAGCTCCTGCCGGTATCCTCTCCTCAGCACCATAGGGAACAAATCCACAATGCCTGTCATCACCGTTTCAATGCCCACAAACTGCAGAGAGGAAGACAACAGAGAGCACAGACACCTGGACCACTGAGTCAACTCATGCTAAGAGGACAGAGACACACAGAGAAACGCAGGCTAAACCTTGTGAATTTACATATATGTTGGACTCATTAGATGGTCTCACCTCTGTGTCCATTCCCAGCAGGAGGACCATGATGAAGAAGCAGGCAGACCACAGCTGAGACAGAGGCATCATGGCCACCGCTCTCGGATATGCAATAAACACCAGGCCAGGACCTGCACAACCAGACAGAGGCAGAATCTATTAAGATTTATTTTTACAAAACACACTCCAGTCAGAGATGAACCAGGGTGACAGATAGCAGATGTGGACAGACTGCAGCTCACCAGACTCGGCCACCTGCGAAATGTCCACTCCCTGCTCATATGCCATGAAGCCCAACACAGAGAAGATGGCAAATCCAGCCACAAAGCTGGTAGCGCTGTTGAGGAGGCACAGGTAGAAGGAGTCCCTGCATGAGGAGAGAATATGGTGCCATTCTGAGAGGCATCTGAACACAAGCACTGCACAACCTACAGTTGAGGCTAAGATGTACTGTACGCCTGCCAGTGGAAAGACCTGCAAGCAATAGATTGTGAGAATGAACACAGGTGGGCTTCTTGTATTATTATGAAAGATTCAAAAGCAAATTTTACAATGGATTGTTTTGCTCAGAGTAAAATGTATTTAACAATTACCCCTAATCCTAATTATAGGGGAGAACAGAGAGATTAGAAAATATATTTTTCTTAGTATTTTGCCATATTGACCTTTGTACTCACTTGTAACAATTGTTACTATATGTGTTGTAGCTGCCCAGAGACGTCAACATTCCTCCACAGAGACTGTAAGAGGAAAACACTTGTTTTGCTGCATCCATCCACACCTAGGAGAGACAGAGACAGGGGAATATTGCTGCTGTCATAGATGTCCCCAGAGCCAATTTCCATCTGGAATTATGAATCCTCAATTTTGTAATATCTCTAGAAATATAGACAGTAGACGTCTGGTTTAAGATAAATTGAAGCTAACACAGCCATTAACCAGGCATGACCATTCACCAGACCGAAATATCCAGATTTTTGTCTTCAAAGATCAATTGTTCAAGTTGTGGCCCTGTCAGACTTCTGAATATGGTTGCTGGCCTTGTCCTACGTGTCTACTAGCATGGATAGAAAATTGAGACAAATATAACAGATCTAAAAATTCTACATAATTGTGAAGACAGGACCTAAAATGGTTTTGCTCGCATTTCCAGAAAATGTATTAAATTGTAAAAAAAGTACTTTAAAAAGTATAGTAGCTATTGCAATTACTATAGAAAGCTCCCACAGAGCAATTACTAGGCACTCCCACAGAGACTTTTATTGCTGTTAGGCAGAAAGGCCTGACAGGCCTTCAGCTGTGAAGTGATAAGAATCTGATTGATCATTACTTGCTATGTCAACAATCAGTAGAAAAATGTGCAGTCAAAGGTTCACAAAGGACGTCCATCCCATAAGCTTCCAAATGGTTGAAATAAAACAATGAATGGCAGTAATTTGAACCTATTAGACCAGCTTTTTCAAGCCCCAGGAGCCAATCGGTTTCATTTGTCTCCAAACCTGGAGATGAGTAAATACTCCTGCTTGTGAATTTATCTGAATAATTTCTTCATGTTCTATAAGGTGCAAACGTGGGATTTGTATGCATTTGGGTGAGCTTTTGCTTTTGGGATTGTATTTCGACGGGTTACTGATAAATTTTCGAAGGTCTTTGGAACTGTGCTGAACGAGTCATCAGATAAAAAATGTTGCTGTAATTGATTGCTTTCTTGTCTTATGGATTGGGAAACAGAGAAGCTCTGAAGCTCCGGTTCTCTTCTTGTGATTGAAAAAGTTTATGATGTTTTCTTTGCTGGAGAAAATTTATTAAATGTGCCGTGTATGTATTTTTTATTTATGGTCCTTATTATAATGGTTTGGTTAAAAAGCCTTTCACTGTGGTGAAAAAAACATTTAGACTGTTCTGCTTTCATGGTTTGATGTAGTGGAACTCCCTTCTACAGTGGGGAACACTGGGGCTAGGTTTAAAATAACTTGATAATCTGAAGTAAACAATGATTCCAGGGTGTGGTGTCCTCAAACCCTCTGGGGACCCTGCAGAGCACTGTGGGGTCTACAGGACCCTTTCAATAATAATTCAATAACATGGATCTGTGACAGATACACCACGGAGGAGCTGCCCTGTGTGTCCTGAAGTACCTGAGGGTCAGTGAGCCGAGTTACATCAGGGTAGAGGTAGAAGACCAGCCCATCAGCAGCTCCAGGCAGGGTGAGTCCTCGGACCAGCAGCACCACCAGCATCACATAGGGGAAAGTGGCTGTGAAGTACACGACCTGAGGGGGCAGGGAAACCACTGATATACAGTATGGAGAGGTTTAATTTTAATTTTACTTGTACTTTTTTACTTCAATTCAAGATACAGTTGAGAGAATTGTCTGGTCTACCACTGTTCTTCAGCAAATCATAAAAGTTTTATTTTTAAACATACAATCTTTAAAAATGATATAACCTGTTTTTTATTTTCACTGATGGGATTACAATCCCCTTCAGCATGATTTTCTAAGATATTAGAAAAGTGTTTCTAAGATCTTACCCTAACAGTTTAAAAGAACTGAATCTGACCAGACAAATCTTTAAGGAGACTTGATTGAAGAACTCAAGATCCTTGAAGGTATTTACATTGTCACCCCAAAGGACTTCTTCAGCATTACACAAATGCAATCTACAGGGAAGTGTATTCAAAACTGACAACTGGAGGTGCTGTGAAACACAAAGGATTGTGGGAGTATTTAACAACCTACCCATCAATGTTAATAATGTCCCATGGTACCATAAAGACAATTATATCCAACAAACTATTGTCTAGATTGGATGAAAATGTAATTCCTGCAGCACAGAAGAAAATACACCCCAACAGAAAAAGTGTCTCACCTTCCCTGTGGACCTCACTCCCTTCCAAACAGAAAAGTAACAGATGATCCAGGCCAGAAGGAGACACAGTCCCAGCTCCCATCTCAGATTGCCCACCTCATCGATCCCACTGGAGATACCCAGCACCCTCCTGCTGCAGGGATCAGGACACAGACACGATTGTGTTGAAAAACATGACCAGAGTATGTCATTGTGTATGTACAGGTGTGAGGGTGTCTAACTTACTTCCAGAACTCCATTACAGCAGAGGTGGTCTTTTCTGAATCTGTCCAGTTGGAAGTGAGATTCTGCTTGTCAAACTCCACACAGGAATCTATCAGAAGACCAACAGAATGGGAGAAGTGTGTGACCTTGTCTGGAAGACAGCAAGAACTGGTGAGAGTGCAGAGAGAACAGGATCAAAACGTTGCTAAATATACGAATTTCAGAACTCTGCTAATACAGGAACTTTGAACTATCATCTTCATCACTGGATGACTGCATCACAAACACCAGGAAAAAACAGTATCTCTGGAGTCTACATTTTCAACACACTGGTGTTTCACTAATGGCTGCTAGTGAAGGCCTATGCTCCAGTACCTGTGTTCCAGGTGTTTCCACAGCTGGCCCAGGGCAGCTCAGAGCTGAAGGAGGAGAACAGGTAGAAGAAGGCCCAGGCCAGGATGATGATATAAACAGTGCAGCCACAGACCATTCTCACGACAGTACATAAGCCAATGCCTGCAAAGAACAAATGAAGATTGGAAACGCAGAAGAAAACAAATACTATCAGTGTGATAAATCTGACCATTGTCTTTATTGTGTAAAACTAGTGTGATGTTTGAAAGAATGATGTCTGAGACTCATTTTCTAGGACATTGTCTCTGATTCAGGGTGGTACATGATGTTGTTAAACTACATGACATGACCATCATATTATAAATCATGTTTGTCTATGTCCTGATTCAATTAAAATTTAAATTTAAATCCTCAAGTAACAAAATAAGTCTTTCCTCATTTTCACGTTTTTTAATATTCTGTTGCAATAGTACCCACCCTCAAACAGGGGGCAGATCTTCCTCCAGCAGGTGATGCCCCCCTGGCTGGTGTACTGCCCCAGAGCCGTCTCCAGCAGGAACAGGGGGATTCCACAGGTAAACAGGAACAGGACGTAGGGGATGAGGAAGGCACCTTTTACAAAGAACAAGATAACTTCCAAAAGCTTAATTACTGTACATAATGTAAACGCTGAGAAATGGTCTTCATGATTAGAATTTACCGTTATATAGAAAATAACGTTTTCATCAAGATCACATTGTACATTGTATACATTGTAATGGAGTTTTTAATGAAGGTTCGGGAGGAATGAAGGCAGCCGCGCTCATTCGACACAGCTGCTGCAATTCTCACTAATCGTGACGTAAGCAACCGGTCTCCATAAATATCAAACGTCACCCTCTCCTCTTCCTCGTTCGTTTTTTGCATCCCTCCTCCACCCCC